AATATTTGAGAGTTGCTCATAGTATGAAGAGGTACTGCTGGGTAAGTTAATATCGGTATGATAAATGATGTCACCAGGCGGAGTTTTATTTTCTCAGTAAGCGCCTTAAAGCGGTATAGTTTTCTCAGCTCTCTTCTTGCCTTTTCCTTCCTGGTGTGGACATGATGGGAGTAACCTGTCGTGGATATATGCGGGCCCAGGAGGGTGCCTCTGCTTTTGTATTCTATCTGGGCATTATTGGTTACTAATGGATGGGTTTTCCTTCTGCATAAGGGCATCACTGTGAATTTCGGGAGACTGGTTTGGATTTTCCATTGTTTTTCGTAATTATTTACCCTTTCTAATTCCCGCCTGGTGTTGTCGACTTGTAACGCTCGGGATTTTCCTTGATGTGTTGTTATTTGAGTGATGTCATCTGCATACATAATATCTTTGTTACCTGTTCTAGTGGGAGGCGGGGTGTCACTTGTGTAGATAATATGTAGGGTGGGAGAGAGGACGCTCCCCTGAAGGACTCTGCTCATGAGTGGGAAGGTCTCTCCTGTGTTGTCCTACCCTCAGTCTGGCATTTCTGGCGTCAAGAAAGTTGCAAAGCAGCTTTACAATGTTGGCGGGAAGTCCGAGTTGGAGGATTTTATATTTTAGACCTTCATGCCAGACTTTGTCAAATGCCTTCGCTACATCCCGGAGAGTTAGATTACATTGTCTACCACTCGCCGCGGCTCTGGCTATGTTTTCACATGCCAGGGCTATCGCTGTTGTGGTGGACTTCCCATTCCTGAACCCGAATTGTCTGCAGTTAACTCTGTTTGTTGTTTCCAGGTGATTTCTGAGACGGTTATTGATGATTTTTCTAGGATTTTTCCAGGTACTTCGAGGAGGGAGATCGGTCTGTAGTTTAGTGGGACGGCGGGGTTCTTTCCTTGTTTTGGTGTTAGGGTAATAATGGCCTCTTTGAATTTAGTTGGGAAGTAGCCTGAGGCCAGGCAAGCGTTCATTGTGGTTCTCAGTCTCTTCATGGCCGGGTTGTTAATGTGGCTGAGGATTTCCTTGGTGATGCCTGAATAACCAGGGGCTTTGTTTTTGGTATTGGAGATAGCTCTGTTGAGTTCTTCCGAGGTGATTGGCTTGGACAATGGGCTGTCCGCTCTTAGATCCTCCCATATGATTTCAGGGGAAGGCTGAGTGCGGTGTGTCTGGCCCCGAAGTTCATCAAGGACGAGCTCCTCGTGGGTACCACAAATTCCCCTATTCTCTTCATTTGTGATTCGGAAGATGTTCCTCCATATGTCCCTGAATATGGGTTCTTTGTCTTGGTCGTCAGTTATATATGATGACTCGTTACGGCTGCAACCTTTCAGTCTCTTAACTCGACGCCAGAACTCTCCTGGGTCGTTTTATGTATGTGAGAGTTGTTCAACTATTTCGGCCCATTTAAGGTTGCTTTGTTCCAGAGATCTTGTTTTTATTTCCTCCCGTATTCTTCTGTATGTATTGTAACTTACGATGTCCCAACCATCGGTCTCGGCTCTCTGTTGCAGCAGTTGGAACTGGTTTGTGAGGGCTATGAGTTCTGGTGTCTGTTGTGGGTGGGGGAGAGTTATGTTGAGTTTGAGAGGCGTGGCCTCCTGGTAGGCTGTTCCTATGGCTTCACACCATGTGTTGATTTCTTCGTCTATTTTGTTCACCGGCTGATTGTCTATGGTCAGCAGGATTGTCATGTCCTTAGCCTCAAGTTTGGCCGTAGTGGGGTGTGGTGGGATCCGGAAGGGGTGTTGTGGGGTAGGGTGGGGTGGGGTGGTGTAGGAAGGTGTAGGGTGGGGTGGTGTGCAGGGAGGGGACGGGTGGGGTGAGGCTTACGAACCTATAAGACTCGTGACTCGTGATGAATGTGGCTCATCACTCAGACACAGTATCACACTGAGAGATCTGTGGCTGATGAGAACCATGTGATGTAATTGATGGGAAAGATATTCTCAAGAGTGATTTACTGAGAGTTAAGTGTGTGTGTGTGTGTGTGTGTGTGTATGTGTGTGTGTGTGTGTGTGTGTGTGTGTGTGTGTGTGTGTGTGTAATAATAATAATAATAATAATAATAATAATAATTAACGGTTTATTGAAAAAGTTCGGCAGCCCGACATGGCCAAGGTGGGCTGCCGCTCAGCAGGGGCAGCGCCTGAATAGGTCTTGACCCTACGGTGGTCAAGGATGTAGTGTGCGTGCGTGCGTGTGCGTAGTCAACTAATGATTAAAATAACTATTTTATACAAAATGTAATATATTTAATTATCGTTTACTTCAACTGTCATTTATGAAACTTAATGACAAAAAAATAAATAAAATAAATTACGCCATCCGACAGTGACACTCTACGGAAGTCTCTCTCCAATGTTTACAAAGGACTTCCGTTTTCTGTAATGTCTTCTCGCCTACACCATTACAGATGCTAATATTTTTCTCTATTAACTAATATATACTATAAACTCTCTCCCCCTTATTGTTTAATTATTCTATTTTCTCTTTTATATCTGTTTTTTTCTGTTTTTTATATTTTTTTCACTATCACTATATATGACTTGATAGATTCATATATTATCTGTATGTATGTATGTATGTATGTACGTATGTATGTATGTATGTATGTATGTATGTATGTATGAATGTATAGATTTTTATATATCTTACTTCTAATGCCTAATCTATAATTTTATCTATCTATCTATCTATCTATCTATTTTCTCTACGCATTAATCCGTCTATCGACCTGTTTACCTGTCTATCTATCTATCCATTCACCGATCCATCAGGGCTAATCACATACCTTCCACTCAACATTACACACACACACACACACACACACACACTTACACACACACACACACACACACACACACACACACACACACACACACACACACACACAACAGGTTAACCACACTGGGGATTTTAAAAGTCCTGTGTTGCAACTACAGTCCGATTGCAACCTGGCATTATGGCGATGAGTCTGATTGTAAGCTTACGGGCGAGGACGTATGAGTGTTACGTTATAGTACGGTCATTGTGAGAGAGGGAGGCCCCGGCATTGGCTTAATTTGCATAACTACCGAATTAGGGGAAGGAAGATGTGTGGGGGGGTGGCGTGTTATGGTGATGGTTGTGTTATGAGGGTTGTCTTTGTTATTATTATTATTATCGTCGTTATAGTCAGCATTTGAATTGGCATCATTGTAGACGTCATTGTCATAATTGTCATTGTTTCATTAGTCTTCATTAGTTTTGTTATTGTTATGATTAACATATTCATCATCATCATCATCATCATCATTTGCATCATTAGCAGTATTGTCATCATCATTATTTGCATAATCATTATCGTCATTATTATCATTATCATCATCATTTGCATCATTAGCAGTATTGTCATCATTATTATTTGCATCATCATTATCATTTATCGTCATTATTATCATTATCATCATCATTTGCATCATCATTTTACTGACGTCATCTCAACGTTAAAACATTCTAACTCGAAATTAAATATAACACAAGATCGTACCTACAACATAAACGAAACAGTAAGAATTAATTCCGGATCATTCTCTGTAAACTTTGCATTAATCCTGCAGTGGCTGTTGCAACATGTTAGCCTCTGCATCACGGTGAGAATATGTGCAAGGTTATGAAGTACGTGGCAGAGTCTCTCATTAACCACGCGAGATATTCATTGTTTATTTACATTCAGGGTCAGCTGATTACCACGGACGGCATCAGCTGATAATCTCCCGCCAAATTTAACTTTATTTACTTTCGATATCAGATGATTCCCACTTCTCTCTCTCTCATCTCGTTGTTTACACTGGGAAACAACTGATAAAAACGTAGTGAACTTTTAGGGGGTTTAGTTACGGTCATTACCAGCTGATGATCACGTGACGAACGCGGCCGCAAGCCAAACCTAACCTAACCTAACCTAACCTAACTTAACCCTAATCCCCACAGGTCGTGTCATGGTGTTTGATCGTCAGATGAAATAAGCTGGTAGGTGTATATAGGTTAATCTCCAGGTAAACTGTATCAGCTAATGAACCTCCACAAAATAACACGTGGAAACATCTAACTCACGTGTCAGGGAGGGTGAAAACCACGCGTCAAAGAGAGAGAATCACGTGTCAGAGAGGGAGAAAATCACGTGTCGAGGGAGAAAATCACGTGTCAGGGAGAGAGATAACCACGTGTCAGAGAGGGAGAGAATCACGTGTCAGAGAGGGAGAAAATCACGTGTCAGGGAGTGAGATAACCACGTGTCAGGGAGGGAGAGAATCACGTGTCAGAGAGGGAGAGAATCACGTGTCAGAGAGGGTGAAAACCTCACCATCAGAACACGTGTCATCAGACTTGCAACAGGACACAAGCCTGAGGTATAAACATGTGGAAGACTTGAACACGAAGAGTGGATCAAGAACACCTGTGGTTTGTTTACATCGTGCATCAACTGAGCGGCTGGATCACGTACTAAGGTCCCACACAACTGACTATACACGAACCAGATTTAACGATTTATCTTCCGTTCTTTATTCTGGTTGTACTTGACCAGATGCTTAGGGGGGGGGTATGAGGGGTAAGATGATGGGTAAGGAAGAAGAGGTGATGGGTAAGGGAGGAAAGAGGTGATGGGTAAGGGAGGAGAAAGATGATGCACACACACACACACACACACACACACACACACACACACACACACACACACGCTGTAAGACATGTCAAGAGAAGTGAGAGTGATTTTTTTTTGGTAATAATCTTAATGGCATATGATTTATTATTATTATTATTATTATTATTATTATTATTATTTTACTGTTTAAAGAAAATATTAATTACAAGAGTAAATCAACACTCTCTCTCTCTCTCTCTCTCTCTCTCTCACGCACTCATATTAATCACTGTAACACCTGTACGCACTCACTGCACCAGGTACTAAGTGTATCTCTCTTCAACAGGTAAAGCTATACAAGGGCGAGTGTGGCCACTGTCGCTGTGTTGTAAGTATAAGATTTTCTCACTAAATGTCAGCTGATTAGTTAAGTGTTGGTGTTTTTTTTATATATTTGTATGTTTATGATCATGTATGTATGTATGTGATTAGGGGGTTAGCATGCATGTTTAGACTTAATCCTTTATGTAGTTGTGTGTTTTTATTTAAGCGTGTATGTATGTATGCTGGCGAGCTGTCCGGTCTGCTCGGGCTATTCCTTGATACTGGGTCATGCAGCGCGTTAACTTCGGGTGTGGTTGTTGTGTTGGCGACAGCTTCTACACCTATAGGGCCGGCCATCCTCAGACACGAGGGGCAACCATTATTATTATTATTATTATTATTATTATTATTATTACTTATTCGTTAATATTATGTAGTCTCTTATGTATTTATACGATGGTAGAAGAGCTTTGTTTCTGCCTTGTGTCTGTCAGTATGTCTTGTGTCTGTCAACGTTGTGTACAAGTAAAAGTACCTATTCTACACACTGTTTACCGACGACAGTTCTCGGCCAGTGAATGTCGACTGTCTTTTGCTCACAGCCAATCAGCGTCAGGATGCTTTTATTTACAAGCCAATCAGCGTTGAGTTACTTTTGTTCTCGGACCATCAGTGTCAAGGGACTTTTATTCTTATCTAGGTGGCAGTGTGCTTTTTTTAACCAATGGGCGTTGAAGTGGTCTTTTATCAGTCAGTCAGATTCAAGGTGCTTTTATTTTTAGCCAATCAGCGGGTAAATATTTTTGTTCTCAGCCAATCAGTGCCAGGGTGCCTTTGTTCCTAAATGATAAGGGCAAAGAACATTTTTTTATATCGGTCAATCAGAGTCCAAGTTTACTATGTTCCCAACCAATCAGAGTCCAAATTTCTTGTGTTTCAACCAATCGGAGTCCAGATTTCACGTGTTCCCAACAAATCAGACTCCAAATTTCTTATGTTTCCAACCAATCAGATACCAGATTTCTTACGTTCACAGCCAATCAGATCTTGTCTTTAGCCTGGCATGTTGTTGACGTCATCCTCTGTGTGTTAAGAGAAGGAAAAAAAGAAAATGTTTTATTGAGTTGTATCCAGCCACCAGGTAGGAGGCTGCCGTGGTCTAGTGGTCACAGGCACGTGTAGGTGACCCCAAGTATATCCTGGTTTAAACTAATTAGTGTGTTCACCTTGTGGAATACGGTCTAGCCTTCTGTTCTCTTTCTTCTTGTTCGATTTTGTTTTTCTTCTTCTCTTTCTAACTGTGTTTCTTCTACTTCCCCTATTTATTATTGTTGTTGTTCTTGTTATTTTTCTTTCTTTCTCATTCTTCTTTTTCATTTATTCATCCTATCTTTCTTTCTTTCATTCTTCTTTCTTTCTTTCTTTCTTTCTTTCTTTCTTTCTTAACAGACAACACATGTTTACAGAGAACACATATTAACTAACAGCACAAGTTTACGCACACACACACACACACACACACACCAGGTGACTACTAATACCTGTTATTTCTCTTGTTTGTAAAAGAAAAGAAAAAAGGTACCACGTTGCTGAGATCCATAAGGAAGACTCTACAGTGTGTGGGGAGATGGTTGTCAGGTGTGTGGCAGGTGAGGTACATGTATGTGGCAGGTGAGGTACAGGTATGTGGCAGGTGAGGTACAGGTGTATGGCAGGTGAGCTACAGGTGAACTAATGTAGCACCTGTCGAGACCATCTTACTCTCAGGTGTGCATCAGTAACTCGATCATATGTCAGGTGCTGAGCGATGTTGTCTGGGAATGGATGTGTTTACCTTTGTGTTTCTCTGTGTTTCGTCTCATTTGGTGGTCTCTCTGTCTCTCCTCATTCCCTCCTTCGTTCCCTTCTTTGTCCTTCCTTATTCCTTCCATACCCCCCTTTCTCCTTATCCTTCTTCCCTCTCCTTCATATCGCTCTCCCTCTCTCCCTCTCCCCTTCTCCATATATACAAGGGAGGACCTCTGCTAAACCGTATATCAGGCAGAGAAGCCTTACACCACCCAGGAGGTGACAAGGCGCCCCTCAGTGTGTCTCGGGAAGCCCTGGGGATGAAAGGAAGAGACACTCCTCCCCCTCTGTTCCTCCCTCTCCCCCCCTTCCTCCCCCTCTCCCCCCCTCCCCCCCTCCCTCCTTCCCCATGCCCTACCCCACTCCTTCCCCCACTCCCTTCCTCTACTTCCCACTACTTTCCCTCCTTCCCTTACTACCCCTCCCCCTTCCCGTCCCCCACCCCAGTCAGTGCACGCGTCGCCCGGAGGATTTGTACTGTACTTACCTAACCTAACCTCACCTAACCTCACCTAATCTAACCTAACCTAACCTAACCTCATATATACCTTGTCCTGTCTCCGTGCTATTGGTTCACGACACAGCATCTTCCTCTAATGTTGTGAGCTTAAGACGTAGCAGGTTCCGATGGTGCTTTGAGGTTACGACAAGGCGAGGTCTCCTTTTACTTCCTCTTCTCTGGGGATTCGTAACATCTATAGTGCTGTAGATACATAACATACATACATACATACATACATACATACATACATACATACATACATACATACATACATACATACATACATACATACATACAGGGAGGCAGACAGTAAGTACGAATATAGAAGAAAAACATAGACAACCCGACACAGACAGACAGAAACAGACAGGAAGATACAGATATCTAGAGACAGATGAATAGACAAACGCATATACACAGGCAGGAAGTTACACACACACGCACACACACACACACACACACACACACACACACACACACATACACACACACACACACAAAGCGAATTTGAACAGACAGACAGACAGACAAACACAAACACATACAGACACAAGCAGGGAAAATGTCTAGTCGACTAACTGGATCTGAGCCATGTCTCGTGTGTGTGTGTGTGTGTGTGTGTGTGTGTGTGTGTGTGTGTGTTGTGTGTGTGTGTGTGTGTGTGTGTGTGTGTGTGTGTGTGTGTGTGTGTGTGTGTGTGTGTGTGGTGTGTGTGTGTGTGTGTGTGTGTGTGTGTGTGTGTGTGTGTGTGTGTGTGTGTGTGTGTGTGTGTGTGTGTGTGTGTGTGTGTGTGTGTGTGTGTGTGTGTGTGCATATATATCTCGAATAAAACTAACACACTGACTGTGATGAAACTTTACAAACGGATTGCTCTCTCTCTCTCTCTCTCTCTCTCACTTTACTCTATCCTTCTCCTTCTCTCCTCTCATCCCTCATCCTCCATCCTCTCCTTTCCTCCTCCTTCTCCCCTCTCCCTATCCTATATCCTTCCTTTCCTTCATCCTCCTAAGCATCTAACAAAAATTAATAAATACAAAATATTAACAGACCACCATCGTTCAAGGCCAGAATTCCGAGCAATGTAGTTTGAATGGTACAACTTATATATATGTGTGTGTGTGTGTGTGTGTGTGTGTGTGTGTGTGTGTGTGTGTGTGTGTGTGTGTGTGTGTGTGTGTGCAATTATCACTTTAGATGGGTTAAATTTCACTTAAATTAGTTTGGAATCGTCCAGGGTCATTGCAAACTTCATTCAAATATTGCAAATTGCGAACGAGATGGGATTAACTTGTCACTAAAGTCGAGTTCTGTATAAAAATGTCATTCTCGTCTTGTTTACGTTTATAGAATCAATGTTAGTGCTTGTCTAAATGGCTTTAATTTTGCTCATTAAAAATTTAACTGGGTTTTACCTTGGCCTGTCTCTCTCTCTCTTCTGCGATTTCCACTTCAACTTGCAAATTCTCATTAAGTTTGTTTCACTGGTTACTAGGTCAAGTGCGTGTGAGTGATTGAGTGAGTGAGTGAGTGAGTGCGTGCGTGTGGGTGAGAGGTTAAGTGATTGAATGAGTGATTGGGGGAGTGTGTCAAGCAGTCAGTGAGAGTGAGTGAGTTAGAGAGATTGAGTGAGTGAGTGAGTGAGTGAGTGAGTGAGTGAGAGGGGAACAGTGATCACCTGGCATATACCTGTTGTTATTAAAGTCAACACTCACCTGGATGTAGTGGGCGCCTCTCTCTCTCTCTCTCTCTCTCTCTCTCTCTCTCTCTCTCTCTCTCCTATACCAGTAAGGCTTCATCTTTGTTCACCTAGGTTACTTGGAGCGAGGGAAGGTGGGGAAGGGAGGGGAGGGGAGGAAGAAGGTGTTGACAAGGGGAAGGAAGGAGAGGAAAGGTTTGCAACATTCCCTCCTGCACCTTCCTTCCCCTACCTCCTCCTTTCCCCTTCTTCCCTGTCTCTCCCATCATCCCCCTTCCCTCTCCTCTGTTCCTCTCCCTCTTCTCTCTCCCCTTCCCCCTTTCCTTCCCCCCATCCCCTTCCCCCCATCCTCCCCCCTCTCTCTCTCTCTCTCCTCCTTTTCCTCTCCCTCCTCCTCCTAACCTCCTCTCCCTACTCTTCTCCCCCTCTCCCCTCCTCTCCCTCTCCCTTCCACATGTTATCAAGGACGTCACCTCCCATTTATCAAGGTAACAACACACACACACACACACACACACACACACACACACACACACACACACATACACACACACACACACACACACACACTTGCTCAGTCCTTGATAAACTGCGTAAATAAATAAATAGAGTAGAATGCGAACATTTCCCACACTGCCACTCGTCCGAGGGAGCCGCTGCTGATGCCATTCCCATGCAACCGTGGATACATAAACAGTGCACAGTGTCAACAAGGAGTGTTTTCCTAGAACCCGGATTTTCACGAACGCCATCTCGGATTCATGACGTGATGCTGGATACTCTCTCTCTCTCTCTCTCTCTCTCTCTCTCTCTCTCTCTCGTCCATTACCCCTTCCTTTTCCTGTCCCCTCCTTCCCTTTCCTTCCCATTTTCCCCTCTCATTCCCTCTCTCCCTCCTCCTCCTCTCTCCTTCTTTTTGCCCCTTCCTCTTCCCCTCTTCCCGTTCCCATCTCCTTCCTTACTTTACTCCTTTACCCCTTCCTCTCTCCTTCCCTCCTTCCCCTCTCCTTCACCTGAC